GTTGTTTAATTTAAATTGGTTATAGTTCTTGATTTCTACTGTTAGATGGCTTCGCTTGGTAAGGACAGAGCACTTTCAAATGATTCTTCCTCGAAAAGGTAGTTTGAATCAAACGCCACGAATTCTTTTCAAAAATAAACTCAATATTCAGTGCAAAAGTTTCAGGGGTTGTTATCTGGAATAATATTTGCAAATTTGCTTTCTTTTTCACTCTTTTTTTCAAATAGAAAAGGCACGATTTTCTCTTTTAATTTCTTTTAAGTGACCGTTCTGGTTCCGAACGTGCGTCTCGGTCTCCAAAGAGGCGAAGTCGTTCAAGGTCTGAGGAGCGAGATATTCGTAGTGACCGTGTTGTAGACCAGCTTGCCCGCTTACATATATGCAATTTCGATGAGAGTTTAAGAAAAAGTGATCTTGAGAATGCATTCAGGTTAGGTTACAGTTGTGATTGATCAAGAATGTTGGGCTGTTTCACTGGATGGAAATTCTTTTTATTTGCTTTTTTTGATTGATGTCAGCTTTTAATTGTCCTGCTCGGAAATGTGAATGCTGTTAACTTTACTTAATTTTTATTTTTCTGCAGCAAATACGGAAAAATTGATAACGTTTGGCTTGCATCTTACCCTCCGTTATTTGCGTTTATCACGTTCAAAAACAGGGATGAAGCCAGTGATGCATTGAAGGAGATGGACAATACGTTAGTTTTTTCGCTTAGCAGTCCTATTTGTATGATTTTATTTTGCAACGAGCTCTTTTTCGGCTTCGTATTCAGTATAGTTTTAATTTCTAGCTATATTGGCCGGAACAAGATAAAGGTTGCCAAAGCTCATCCACCACGGAGATCTGGTGACAGGGGGCAGTCTTCGCGGCGTCCTGGTAGTGGTAGGGGAGGCAACTACAATGATAGAAGCCGTTATGGTAGAGGCGGAAGGTAATTTCTAATAAGTTTTCTAATTTTGTTCGAGTATATCGCCATTAGAAAATCCCTATTTCTTATTTTTTTTTTCGGCTTTTATTCACGATTTGACAAAGCTTAGCCAAAATTACTTTTTTATTCTTTATTGTGTGGAAGTTCCCCATTACTTTCCGCAGTAAACCGTGTACAAAGATTATAAAACTCTGAAGGATCTTTTCATCGCACTTGCTGGTGCCCTGCATATTTCCGTTTTGTGTTTACTGTGATATTGCGAAGTTTCTTTGATTCAGATCATACGGTGGAGGGAGTAGTGGCGGATATGCTAGACAAGGTGGTTCTCGGTACTATGGCAGTGCAGGTGAGAATTATCGGAGTGGAAGAGGCGGAGGAGGTCGAAGGTAATTGTTTGACAACTTTCTGCCTTTTTTTTGACATGGATTGGAAATTGTTTTTTTTTTATCATTTAAAGTTTGAAAACATTCTTGACATCGTAATTATTGAAATGGATGGATCTTCGAGGTATAACTTGATCTTTGATAAATCAGATATTTTCATTACTGTTCGTCTTTGCGAGTTTTTTTATTTTATTTTTTGTTATTTTTATTTTACCTTATTTTTTGCTGCTGCTCTGCCACTTTTTCACTTTTTTGGAACGTTTTCTTAAAAAGTGGTAAATATCTTTGGCCTTGATGTGTTGTATATTAATTTGGTTTTATGAGTTTCAGAGTAGAATCAGTGTAGTCGTGAGGTTATTTTAATTCTTCAAAGTTTCCAAGTTCCTTTTGCCGCACTTCTGAATCTTTACACTTCTGAAAATTATCCCTGCTTTTTAACACTTTGTTTTTTATATTTTCCGGTTCAGTTTGCCATAAGTGTTGAATGGCAGAATCTCTTACAAAGATCGGGGTGAACCAGTACCAGTTGCTGATCATCTCTTGGTTCGGTACAGTTACGAGATACCAAAGAGCGTTGCATGTTTTGGGTGGTGTTCCCAAATGCCAGTGTTGCTTCGCAATATCGTAGCGAAAATTAACGTACTAAGTGGTACTTGCGAGTAGTTTTGAAGCTTCGGTATTCTTCCTGGTAGCTTACGCTGTGTCAAAAACGTTTGAAGTTGAATGGGCTACAAGAAAATCCGCTTCGAGTTTTTTTATTTTCGGAAAATCTTTTTACGTCCTTTTTTCTAATATGGTAAGTTTTAACTTATTTCTCAAAAATAAAACAAGCGCTTTTTTCAATATTTTTCATTCACAAGTCATCCATCTGCTTTTCGCTTACCGGCTATTTTATGCTTTAATGGTGGACTATACTTCCGAGTACTGTAGTGTTTGATTGAATTTAAAGCATTTTGTGCGCAAACGTAATTGAGAATGTACGGTTACATTGGCAGCACAGCAAACACTTTTCTATAGATGTGGAGCAAAAAAAATTTGTTTTTTGAGGAATTGATTGTTATTTCTTGCATATATATTTTTTCAGGGATGATGGACGGTATCGAAGTAATGATCGTTACTGAAGTTACTTAAGTTACTTTGTTTATTGCCCTTTTTGCTGTACTACTATTAATCTTAATAAAGCTCATGTTCCCTCTCTTTCTGATATATTCCACTTGCTTTTATCAGATGATAGGGGAAAACATTTTCCAGATTATTTTTTTGGATATGAACATTAATGGATCGAATATTATTTTCTTTATTTTGATTAGGGGTAGGCGTAGTTTAGTTGTTTTAAGTGTATTGGAAATTGTGCACCCAAGGTTAGTTTACACTCAGAAAGATACAAATTTTAAGACTTGGCTTTGTTGCTGACTGAAAGAGGGTGTTCTGCATGACCCGTTGTGGCTACGTGGTACTAGTAGGTTTTTATGGGACTTAATGTTCATGGGCCAGGCGCTGGATTACGGGTATGGTGGGTTAGCAGGTGCTGCATTTTCGCTGTGACTTTTGAGCCCAGCGGTATGAGGACGTCTACGAGGGACCTGATCGTTTCTATAGTTGCGGTTCAGTTGTCTTCGAACTGGTACCAATCAAATACGTGAGTAATGAACTTTGCTCAGGGATTTCGTCATGTATTTATAAATTTTGCATTTGTGACTGTACATTGGTCGATATGGTAGTTTGGCCCCAATGTTGGTTTGTGTTATGGCTCAAATTTGAAATCGTTGAAAATTACGTATTTTGCTTTACCTTCAAATAATTAATTCAATTTGAAGTTTCTCAATTCGCACCTAACAACCTGCTTTTCACATCATTTCATGTACTACCTTCCTCGTCCTACTGTGAGCCGTACTTAATAAGACTTTATTCTTCAAACACTGTTTACGGGAAAAATTGACTGAACTGAGCAATACTAGAACATGGGTTTCACCAGTATAATTAGCCTGTCGGTCGCAAAGTGAAGGAATTTAAGAAGCAGCAAGTAACAAACAATTTAAATTCAAGGAAGCCTTAATGTGGCTAGACATATTACGTAAAGACTTTTAGATTGGTTTTTCAACCGATCTCTTGTATTGGATTCAAGAGAAAGGTTGCTGCAATCTACATCGGTTATGATTTCAAAGTTTCTCCTTGCAAAACGTCAAAGAAAAAAATCGGGGAAAAAAATACTCGTCAGAATTTTCGCAAAATGAAAATTGTTTAATATTGATATAACATTCTTAATATGAAAGAATACAAACACTTATTACAGTAACGCTTGACTGTATAAATAGTGTCAGTAAATTCCAAAACTTTAAAAAATGCTTCCGCCTTCAATCTCTGAACTTAGCTGGTATACGTTGATTTTACCTCAGTAAACTTTCCCTTTTACAATTAAAATTTTAAGTTCAAATTAGAAGCTGACAAGCGTTTTGGAATGCACATAAACAGTTGGTTGCGTTAACAAAACCTTATTTGCCTTCTGATCAGGATAGTACAGAAGGAGATAAAACTTGAGCAGAAAAAGCTGTGGGCGATAACACCGACGGTGACAGGATTGCTGGGCTCAGAATTCCACCACAAAGAATTGTTGGCGACAACAGATCCGGAGATAGAACGAATGGACTGAGAATCAACGGCGACATGATGTATGGGTTCATAACGTTCGGAGACAAAACATAAGGTGTAAAAACATAGACATTGAATATAGCGGCTGACATTGTATTAGGCCCTAAGAAGTAGGGCGAAAAAATCATAGGATTTCCAATCTGCAATTTTCCCAATTATTTATTACAACCACTAAGCTACTGGTTTATTATATTATACCAACAACCTGCGGTGCTTAAATGCGCTACCTGTATAACTGCTGTATAGTGGTAAGGTTTTTGATTACCTTTTAAAAGTGTGAGTGTTTGTTTTTCTCGTTATTATTAGAAGCTATACCTGTGGTGAAAGAACTGGTGGACTAAGCATGTACGGATTTAATATGCTCGGCGAAAATATACTTGGCGATAGTGTTACTGGTGCCAAAATGGCGAACTGAAATACAGAACTATAGCAGAAACTGCATAAACCGTTAACCACATCAATTGTTCGTTTGTCACGCAGAACCTTTCTACCGAAAAGAGTGATTACTGGGGAACTCAGTTCAGTTGCAGAAAAAAAAAAGCTGGCTTACATTTAAAACTGAAGGAGAAAAGGCAAATGGAGACAAGGTTGTATGTCTCTTGCGCCTTTTGTGTGTTGCTTCTTTCTGTTCTTCGGTTTCGCCGGCTAAAATCCTGATTTTGTTGATCAGAGCTTTCTTCCTGTCAACTTCAGTCCATTTTGCGTAGTCATCAATGTTAAACGGAAATTTTGTCGTATTGTATAAACCTGAAAAAATGTAACTGTTTTGTCTAAACCCCATGCAATTTATTAAACGCTTTAAAAAGATGCTCAGCTTTGTAAGCTGTAATTCATCGCCACTAGTGACGGAAAACTTCTGCAATGTTAAAAATGTTATCACTCATAGAGTTGTCGCTGAAGCAGCAACAAATCGTCGGTTTAAGATTTTTGCAGACAAATGCAAGTGATCAAAAGGCACCTCGCGAAACGCTGAAACCTTCAAGCCTGTTTATCAGGCCAGTAAAAAGAGCTGTATCAAGCCAAGCTAAAAGGGTGTTAGTTGACTGTGCCATATTATCAGTGGGAGGTCGACGACGAAAAATGTCAGTAGGTGAAGCTTCACACTACTGAAATGAACGGTAGAAACATTTTTATTTTTAAAAAATTAAATTTTTCAGTCTTTTAACGATAAATTTTCAAATTCTGTTCTTGATCGATTTGTTATTCCGTTTGCTCATATTTTGAGAACTTGTAAATTGATAACGAGTTTTGCAACAGGAGCGAAAGATAAGTGAAAATAGTTACTCTAAGTTGTATACAGGTGTAAGGGTGACAACGCTTTGTGAGTAAGAGTGAAGCCGACAAAATAATGTGGCTGTCTTCTTAGGAAGAAAAATAATTCTACGTTATACGAAACGTTGAAGAATCCCTAAAAACCACTTAACTGCAAATGCTACCTCTGTGTCTACTTATTAGGCTAAAGTGTCACTTATTATTGAAACATCTGGAGCTACCACATCTACAGATGGTAGCTTTTAAAACTACTTATCAAACGAAGATGACACCTGTTGTTTTTCCATCCGTTCTAATACTACTGACTTTTATCGTGCATAACCTGATCTAATAACGTACCTTCAGGTCCAAAAAACATCAGTAGCTGCTCTTTGGTCATGAACGTGTATTTCCGACTATTAATTTCTCTCTTTTGCCGTTTATTAAAAGTTTTCTCTACTTTGGTGAAAAGTTTTTGGATGAAAACAGTGATGTTGGTAATGTCGTCTGCTAAACCAAGTTTTTTTGCTTTTTCCATGACGTCCAAAGTTTCGTCAACCAAATTACGTGCTCCTGCAAAAAAACTTTAATAATATTTTTTGCTACAATAATGCTTATTTCAAGTAAGATTTATAATCGTTGGACGATGACGAGTAAACTGTGTAGTGTCGACAGGGACTTAAAAAAAGTTTACCCGTAGTTTGCATAATAAGCTCCAGTACTGCGTCTCGATCATCATCTGACATACCAGTGGCCTTTAAGACTTTGGGAATCGGCAAGATGCTATTTGGTGAGTCATCGTTATACATTGGAAAGAAGCTTGGAGAGAGAGCGTGCCTGCAAAACGCTTTTAATCTTCAGTACTACTCCACCATGTCAAATATTTTACTGTAAAATTACCGGCAAAGTTTTAACAATTTTTCACGATTATTTATGAAAGGATTTGGAAAGTGGACTGGAAAATTTGTTCACTTTGTATGCTTTTTGTCGGGGACGACAGGGATGAAACGTGGCGACAAAATTTTGTAGGATTCATCGTTGTTGTGTTTAGAAAAAGCGTCTAAGAAATTTAAAAGATTCTTCATTAGTGGCGACTTTTGAATACCTGAAATTTAAATTTTTTGAAAATTTTTTCTCTTTAGCAGTATTTCAAATACACTTTTGACGAGGCTTACTAAATGTTGTGTTATATGATTTGCTCTTTTATATTCAAACATTGGCCACAATGCAAAATTGGAAAAGAAATTTGGTAAGTTATTTGATGAGTGTTACTTTCTGGAAAGTAGCCTTGAATTCGTTCAGCTATGGGTATCCTTTTTCGGTATGGGTTGTTGTCGCCGAGCACTATGTCGAGCATCCGATGACGGTATCTAGCTTTGTAAGCCGAGTCTTCGATCATATCTTGTACCTGAAAAGTGAAATATTGAAGCTTTTTGGTTCTTCATGCTAGTAAACAACTCGCCTTGTTAATGTTAGCGTTTCTATTTCTTTCACCGTTTTTGAGACTTTTTTTTCGTTTTTTTTTAAAAAGCTAAAGGGAGGGAAAAAAGTATTATTTGCTAGTGACGAAATTAAGCTTTTTAAAGCTTTTAAGGCGTTTCTCTATAAACATTAAGTTTTTATTAAAGTTTGCCGTTCAGTTATTACTTCCTCAAGTTTTTTATAAGTTTCTTTCCAAGGTCCTATACGTAGTGGTTTTTTACTGCTGAAGGCGCGGAAAAAATTGGTAAGCATTTTCGAAGTTGTCCAAATTGGCGATTTTGCCATACGCATAAATTCGTCATGAGGGTCGATTAAGTCTGGCATTTTGTCCATTTTGATTATTTTCAAATTGTTGTCCAGTTTGTCAAGGCGTCGAGATTCTTCCATCAATTCTTTGACCTGAAATTCGATCCTGATGAACGGTCACTTTTTTCTCACGATTATTGTAAATTATTCACGATGATAATCTAATAGGATACTAAGTGTGAAAAAGTATAGACAAAAAAGAGTGGGACCGGAAAAATTAATTCATTTGGAAAATATTGAGTCATTAACCTGTCCGTCAAGTCGAAACGTATTATGCCGTTTTGTCAATTTTCTTTTCTGCTTAATTACTTTCACTTTAGATTTTCGCAGCTTTTCCTTGTATTTAATTGGTTTTATAGCATTTGACCAGTCATTAAACCTGAAGTTTTTTTTTATGTATTTCTAATTAAAAGTACTTTTTTCTTCTAGAAATTTCGTTTTTTTACTGAAGTCAATATTTTATTGCTATGTCAAGTAGACTGTTCTTGACTAGCTATAGATAACTTTTACAGCCTAACTTAGATAACATTTTTAGACTGCCTAGAATAAAACAGTTTAGGAAATATAGCGCTATGCTGACAACAGCAGCTCTGAAAACCTTGTCAGTATCTCTTGTAGCATAGTGTATATTAAAAAAAAACTTACCTTCTGTATTTGGAAATTTTGCTATAGAACTTAGGGACGGATGTCCTACTTAAAATGTTCTTCTCTTCACGTGGTTTTTCTTCTTGTACAAAACTAATTGACTTCGTATCTGTGGACACTTTGTCTATGAAAGGAAGAGATATTTTTAGAAATAAAAAAAATTTTTAAAACTAATGAGACATTTATTTTATATAATGTCATAATTGTACACTTTGCTCAGACCATCATAATAACGCACATCTAAGCAAGAATTAGTTTATTGTAAGGTGATAAATGGCCGGCTACCGTATGATGATTTTTTTAACAACCGATTGTCGAGAGCAGCAGTAATGCATTTTGCACCAGCTGTTATATCAATATCTTTCTCGATGCGATTCAGGCATTTGATAAACGCTCTTCGATTTTGCCTGTTCAAAAAGGTAGGTATAAAAAACCACTAATTGTTTATTAAGTCAATTTTGACATCTAGATAAATTTTTCCGTTTTTTTGTCAGTTATGAAACGTAAATTAGATGAGTGAAATTAAAAATATAAACTTGCTCAAGGTTACAATAACAGAGAAGTAGGAATTAATCTGTCACGATGTCAAACTGTAAAATTAGAAAATTAATTTCTGCGAAAATTGGAACGACAATACTTTTGAAAATGAGATACATTGTTTGTTATTCTGTCGTCAAATGATGTATGTCGACACGCTTCAATTCATTTTGTGGTAATTTTTGTTTTTTGAATTACCGTTTAAAGTATGGGAAGTGTTTAAAAAAAAAAAGTTGATTTACCAATTGTTGTCAAGAATTTTTTTTAAATATAAACTGGCAAGACAGCATAATGGAACAGGAACTTAAACGGCAATTTAAAGTTGATTACTTATTCATTCGAAGATAGATTTCTCTGGCTACAGCACCCAGTAAGGCATTTGTTGCCGAAAGATACCACGAATAATGTAGTTTTTCTGCACTTTGTAACTGCTTTGGTGATAATTTTAATTGTTCAATCTTTTCCATTTTACTCTTTGGTATAAAAGGTTTAGCCAGTGTTACATCTAAAATTACATCCAATTGATGAGCCACTGCGATAGTTTCCTGTGACTCGTAGATTAAATTCAGAAAAAAATGCTGACCAAAAACTTTTTGGGAAAATTTTCTGTCATATTTTATAAACTGTAAATATCTTCTCATCTGTAGAGCACAAACAGTATTTTTTTTTTTTTTAAGATAAAAGAAAGACAAATAATGATTAATTAAGGAAACAGAGAAAGAAAAAATAAACAAAACTGGTAAATTAATTCAGAAAACCGTACAGTTGAAAAAAGCAGAAAGAACTGTGTAGTTATTTAACAGTTGCCTTATAGTTTTCAGGTACATTTTAGCCGTTAGCTAAAATGATGAAACAGATTACGGTAACAAAAAGGAACTTGAAATGCTCAAAGGTAACTTACTAAAAAGCAATAGTGCTGTTATCAGTAGCAAATAATAATAATAGTACTGTCGACTGAAGCTGATTACTGCAACACCGATATGACGATGGAAATTTGTACACTGCGGCTTCCATTTTGGCATTGATGGCTTGCTTGACTTAACGAACAAAAACAATTACAAATTTTAAAGACAGGGTTTCGATCTGTAAAAGAAAAATTTGTACAAACTGACAGCTGGAATGAATGTATTACAGTTAGTTACTACTGTAGATTCAGTTATGTATCAGCAAATAAATGCTTCTTGAAAAAGCCGAACAAAAGAATTATGCAGAAAAAAA